CACAACTAACTAAGAAAATACATGAGATCACAATAACATCATTTTTCTACCCAACACAAAGTACTAAGGTTTCGAAATCCAAAATAAAGAAAGCATTTAGGAAGGAAATACATCACTCTCCAAAAATTAGGAATTTAAAACTAGAAAGGAGATTTCATGGGTATTAAACCCTACTTTGTTCAAAACATGTAATCCTTGCAAAAAGCCTAAGAGAGGATGATTCCATAGCATATATATATACTATTGATAGCTAAAACATACATATATAAATACCCTAGCCTCAATGTAAGTGAATGAGAGAAAACTCCTACCTTGAATCCTTAGCTTTGGAGTGAAGAATAAGAATATTTGATCTTGAATTACCCTTGAATCTCTTATTTTTTTTCCTTTCTTTCTTCTTTTCTAATGCCCTCTAGGGTTTCAAGAGGTGTGGGGGTGTGAGGGGAGTGAAGGAAATAAGAGCAAATGTGATGAAAATGAGTTTAAAACATAGTAGCCCCGAAAAACACTGTTCACAGGCTGTTTTGAGTTTCTCCAAATTTACAGTTTTGCCACTAAGAATCTCCAATTTGATTCATATGACTACCCTAAGGTTTTTTGATGTTTCGGATTCATTTTTAATGTTATTTTAACCTAAAAATATGTATTTTTATGATTTATCTCAAAACTCAAGTCAACGTACACCCGAAACACTAAAGTTTCTATTTTACCCATCCGAATCGGCTATTAATGAAGTTTTGAGATGTTTACAAATAAAATGTGATAAAGGGTGTTTCTTAAAACCTTTTATACTTATTTGAAGCCTTAAAGTACTCATTTTTCTTATATTTTGATTTAGGATGCAAATGAAGACATTAAATGCAAAATGAAGCTAATTTGACTATTTCGACATTATTTCGTTATCTGAGCATAACTCTCTCATCCAAGCTCCGATTGAGATGATTCAAAATGCTATGGAATGATACGAAAGAGTTCTAAAACTTTAAAAAGTGGAAAAGACCTTTGGCAATTCAGATCAATCTTTCATAAAGAATAACCAAATCATACGAGAGAAGTCAAAGATTACAAAATACTAAAAATTAGAAATACTTTTGAGCGTTATAGGATCCCAAATGTCTGAATGGACAACATTAAAAGGACTAGATTGATGGCTTGAAGAACTTGGAGGAAAAGAACTATGGTGATGCTTGCCTAATTGAAACGCCTCACATTCTAACATAGAAGAAGAACTCAAACAATGGATAATTTGACGCAATTTCTACACGTAAGGATGACCCAGTCGAAAGTGGCACCGAACAGGAGAAATGACAACACTTAATGAAAGAACAAAACCACTGGAATCCAAGTAGTAAAGGGAATTGCTTTCATGCCCCACACTAATTAACTTGTTTACCTTGAGGTCCTAAACAACATAAGAATATGGCAAAAAAAGTTACTGAACACTATAAGAACTTGGTTAATTGACTCACAAATAACAAGGTAAAGGAAAAATTAGGAAGAAATTAATTAGATTTTAATGACATAGACCGAGTATGACAAAGATCGTCAGTGTTATGTATATTTGAAAAGATCAATCGGTTAACACAGGACGAAGAAGGTTGGGTAGCAACAACCAAAGTTATCTCCATTAGCAAAACCGTAGGTAGGAGTAGACAAATATGGAAAAAGTGTAGACAACTAGTGGATGAGCTGACTAATTTGATAAGAAAGATTATCATGAGAGCGAGAAGTGGATGCAATTGGACCATCTATAGAAGTTTGATGCACTTGAGAATTTGAAGTATCATCAGAAGCCTGGTTAGCACATGTTGGTCTCCCATATTTATTCCAACAATAATGCTTTGTATGTCCCCTGCCGCAACAATAAGTATACTTCCACTTCCAACGATTACTGCCGCTAGAACGGCAACCACGACCTGTACCTAGACCACCGGCAGAATTATGGAGTGGACCACATCCAACACCACCGCACAACCACCACCGAAAGTACCAAGTTTACCCCTACTCGTATCAACGTGAGTGGCCATGAAAAAAAAAATTAATAGGAGCAATATGCAACTCTACACAAGAGGAAACCACCAATGGAGTGGTGATTAAATACTCCACAATGGCTAACAACAATACCCAACAATCCAGAAGACCCACTATTCCACAAATACACCAATCTCACCCACACACATTACAGAAGTAGGAATCCTATCTACTCATACATCCACAAACAGCGCAGAACAAGAATCAAACCTCAATAGACCCAAAATAGGGGCTGAACAACTCAGCTGAGAAATCCTACTTTGTAGCCGAACCCTTGAACAAGCAAGAAGCCCTCACAAATCAACCCAAACAAACATGGGTTATCCAAAACAACACCCACAAGATTTAGTCGGAGATTTATCTCTCAAGTAGAGAAACATAGACTTCTTAGTACATCCAAATCATTAGCTTGCCAAGAAACAAGGAATAATAATGCCGGTTGCCTAAAAGTAAATAAAAAAAAAACCCCAAAAATTGTCCTTTGAGCCTAATAAACTTGAAGAATCTGCTCAACCATCGTAAAAACTACTGGGCAATACTTCTTTGCCTTAGACACATACCATGTAGTAGAATCGTATCAAAACAAAGGGGTACTGTGCTCAAAACAAGCAAATCTCAGCCTCTAGCAGCCCCAAACACGAAAATCATGAAAAAAATCGGAAAGTCAATGCAAACGGTTGCAAATAGTTATGGCAAAATAACAACAATGCTTAGAAAATCATGGCGAATCAAACCATGTTGCTCCCGATCAAATCTAACAAAGTTTATGCCAACATCATGATGTCAGATTCTGACAATGGCCTACCTGGAATTCTCCCACTGGCTCCAACAAGTTTTTAATGTATTAGGCTGAGATCAATGCTTTGATACGCAATTAAAACTTGAATAATTGAACATTAGGGTTTAGGCAAAGAAAGAGAAGGAGAAGAAGAGAGAGAGATTATGGAACAATATTGTGAGTAGGATATGTGTTGCCAACACCTATTTATATTAGATTGATATTAAAGAGCATTACAATATTAGGAAAGCAGAACATAGTAGGAAAGTAAAATAGAAAGGAAATCTCTAACAGTAGGAAAGCAACATCGTTAGAAAGTAAAACTCCGACATATTGCTCTATAATTCCTTATACTTTCTACATTATTATATATTTATATATTTATGATGTATATGTATCATAAGCGGAAGGGTACCTAATGTCACAAGTCAACAAACACACCCATAGTCATGACTTTAGAAAGCTAAACTACCAAGTATAAAGGTTTGAATGAAAAAGAGTAGTGTGCGTATCTACACATCCTTTAAGAAAATGCCATTGAATTTCCTTACTATTCAGAATCTGGGAATTTTTCTTTAAAATCAGGCAAGTTTTGGCTTTTATGCTTCAGCAAATAGCAGAGTTCAATTTTTGAACTCTCTTCTTGTTTTGTATGCTCAATATTATCTGTATTATCAACCTAGAGACATTATTATGGCCTTTCTTCCAACAAGTCAACGCATTAGTTTAATACATTGCAAATGTTTTTCTTTTTTTTTTTAAATTTTGTTTTGTTTCGCACCAATTAATTCTTCTTTTGGCAATGACAATTAATGTTGTAGTCTTGGTGAAAGATCATCAAATTTAATGAGCTATTTAAAATATGATAGAAGCATTCACTAATGTGGATATGAAGGATCAATACCACAAATTAAAATCTAATGATACTTTTAGGATAACTTGTGAAATTGCACGAGTTGTTTTGGATGCTTTATGTATCATTTTATCCCTACGTGTTTATTAATGTAGAATACTTGCAGAGCACTTCCATATGCCATGGTGTACTTTCTTTTTTATTTAAATACCTAAATCATGTGGTCCTGGCTTTTCATTGAGTGTGCTTCTCAAGTGATCAGGTAGCCCGTTCAAGTTCTATGCCTCCCAATGCAAGGGATATGTTATACGAGAACCTGCCTCCTAGTGTAAAATATTCTTTGAGATCCAAACTGGAATCTTTTCATGTCAAGGAAGAGGTACTCTCTTAGTTATGGTTCTTCCTGACGTTGTTCTAGTACATGCATGCTATTTTTCGTTTTCGTAAATCCCCAACTTGATTTTCCATAACCATCAAGCATTTGTTTGAGTGGCATCTCCTTTGTCTCCGATCAGGTGGTTGGAGATTTGAGCTCCTGTTGGACAATTTGTGTGTGTGTTTGGGCTCATCCAGTTAAAAAAATTATTGTCACATTTCCAATAAATTGGATGAAAGGAAATGGCAAGTTTGTAAATTAATGCAAATGAGTTTCTTTCAATTTTTTTTTCAAAGTGTCAAATGTTTTTCATTGTTTTATTCAGTCAAAAGTTTCTTGATGTAAAATTTGCTTGTTATATTTGCTATAATTCTTGTAAGTTGTTATGTGCAGCTCACTATAACAGAAATCAAAGCTGAGATGGAGAAAACTTTGCACTGGCTTGTTCCTATTGCCACAAACACAGCAAAGTATGATCTCCAACCTCCTTACAAATAGCTAAACCTTTAATTCTAGTTTATTTGATTATTCCTTTGCTGCATTAACCTTCTTATGTACAGTTCACTCCTCTAATTTGATAATGTGTTTTGTTGTTTTTTGCTGCCAATATTTTTAAAGAGCTCATCATGGATTTGGTTGGGTTGGAGAGTGGGCAAAAACAGGGTGAGTAACAACTATCATCTAATGTTACTGAAATATTTTCCAATTCCCCCTTGTATAATAAAATCAACATGAATCAATAAGATAAGCTCGTAATTTAAGGAAAATATGGTTCTTAATTGTTGTGTAAAGGTCTGAAGCAAATCGGAAGCCAGCTGGGCCTATTGAGGCGATTCTGATTGAGACACTCCACCATGCAGACAGGGAGAAGACAGAATCCTTAATTCTTGAACTAGTCTTGTGGCTTAACTATTTTATAAGCCAATCGAAGGCTGGCGCAAAAGACGGTGGCAAGAGGACGCCAATTAATTCACCCCTCCAGGAAGCAAATCAGCAGCCCGTGCAAGGAGCGGCTAATGCTTTGTCACCAATTTTAAGCATTGAAGACCAGGAGATGTTGCAGGATGTTAGCAAAAGAAAACAGAGAGGAATCAGTAAGAGTCGGGACTTCGATTCTCTGAAAAACACGTTAAGAAAGCATGACAGAGTAGGCAAATTTAGCAGTCATTCCCCAACAAGGGGAAGCGACGAAGTGATATCTATGAAGAGGCATTCCTCTAGCATTCTTGCTCTTAATTTTGGTCGTGACAAAAAGAAAGCATTGGGTGTCATTGATAGGGACGACACCCAGATGTAAGTTACGGTGTTATATGTATGTATATACACACAATACACATCATCAAGAGTGAAGGCAAATCCGAAAATTCGTTATTAGTGAGGCGGAGCCTACCTGTGTGGATAGTTGTGCCGTATGTAGAATGGAATGGTACCCATTTCTGTTGTTTTTGTCTAGCCAGAGATTTTATTGTTTGCTTATAAGATCTGCAAGGAATTCCGATTGTTTTTTTGGTGCGGAAAAGAGGGAAAATGATCAACAGCAGTGAGGCTTTGTATACAGACTACCAAAGTATTTCATGGTAATTTATGGGTTGGAGTCGAAGATTATGTATCAAGCAAGAACCAGTATCACATTTAAGGAAATAATTATTTACTTATTTATAACTCCGTCAGTCAAAAGTTTAAGTTACCTTTTGGTTACACTTTTTGAAAGTCTTTTGTTGTTTTTTTAACTTTTTTTGAGGACTTTTTAAAAGTAGGATTTGTTTTTACATTTTTGTTTTATCCTTTTCGGGTTTTACTCTATTCTTCTAACCAAAAGTATATTTATGGTAAATATAAAATACACTTATATCAACGTATAATTAATGTAGTAAAATGCTTGTAGATCACTTTTCTGACAGTTATTACATGCTTTTATTTTTTTTGATGAAATTATTTTTTTGCTTTAATAGAAGTTGCAAAAAAATAGTACCAAACTCTAATGCCTCCAAAGCCACCTTGGACGGCATGACAATCTAAATTATTTACAGTGTGAGAGCAACTAAATAAATCCACCATTAAAAAACATTTCATTCATCAAATATAACATTTACAATAGCATCCCGAAAGAATATGTCCAACCATAATAATTACATACAAAAGAATCAACTTTAACTTGCAGCGGAATTACAGAAGGTTAGACTTTACATAGCCTCAAAATAAATTCCCTAGTCTAGAACAGGAGAAGATATAACTCTAGACGTCTGCCTTGAGATCCACGTTCCCCTCTACTGGAGTTTCCCAATGTGCTTGTTCATCTACTCCTAACTCCTCTTCTATCACATAATCTGAAAAATATGTTGTTTGTAGGGGTTGAACACTAAGCTCTGTAGCAACATTCTCCAAAACTCAAACAAGGTTTAGAAAGCATGAAAAACAGTCGGTCTCATTTTACAAATATCATAGACATAGCTTTTGAAAGAAAACAAGAACAATTCGATCTCAAGTTTATACAATAGCAATAAGTTAAACGAAAGGAATAACAAGTGAAGAAATCAATTTAATCATGCAATAACATCATCTCATATTCTTATGTATGTTGGTTGCTTCCCAAAAATCTACACCTCGATTCTACCTCGTTCACCCACCACTATCACACAATCCCCAAATATTTTAGGAATGACGTATACCGTCTCTCACGACATTGACGAATCCTTCCCAGGAAAGGGATACCATCCCTCAGTCTCGAACTTATGTGAACAATAGTGATTGCTCTCACAAACAACAAACCACTACAAGTGTTAGGAAACCATCTCACTCCCACTGAGATAGACTAACCACTAACACTCTACGACAGTGCTCATATGCAATTCAAGTCCATCACAACAACCATACAAGAGATGTAATCACCAATATTTTCTCAAATCACAATGAAATCCAAAATCCCCAATTTCCACAATTTGCATTACTAAATCACAATTTAAGAAAATAAGTAAGAGATCATCACAAATATCATTTGTTGTTCAATACAAAGTACTAGAGTTTTTTTGAAATTAAGAACAAAGGAAAAAAATCTAGAGAAAAATTCATTTATCATGAAAACTAGGGTTTCATACCAAGAAAAGAGATTTAATGGCTATCCAACCATTACTATGCTTAAAACATGGTATTAATTGCAAGAATAGCAAGAATCGAAGATTTTATAGCATACATATATGATTTAGAGTCAAAAGAATACATATATATAAGTCATTGTCTCAATGTAAGAGAATAGGAGAAACCCCTACCTTGGTGTTCATGAAAAAACTAGAGCTTTGATCCAATCCAATTTGCAAATCCTCTTTGATCTTATGTTTTTCCCTCTCTTTCTTCCTATTTAATATTTCCTAGGGTTAGAAATGTTGAAATGAGGCTAATGAAGGCGTCATTATGTATTTAAAGGGTGAAAAATGGACCCCATATCGCGACTTAAAATTTTTAGAACTTACAGAGCGTACCGGTACGGTTTGTTCAGTTTTTCCTGTTTCCTTTGTTTTTAATTTCCAATTCATTTCAAACCCTTCCAACATCAACCCAAACTTATACAACATACATTTGGACATCAAACATAGTTGGTACAAGTTTGATTACAAACAATTTCATATATTTATTTGCTACATATTAAAATAAAAGTGTGGGGGTTTACAATCCACCCTCCTTAAAGAAAGTTTCATCCTCGAAACTTATCTCTAGTAGCGAACAAATGAGGGTACTTCTCGCGCATCTCCAGCTCCGGTTCCCAAGTAGCTTCCTCTACTCCATGGTGTTGCCACAAGACTTTCACCAGTTGAATGACTTTGTTGCGAAACACCTTCTCCTTGGTGTCAAGAATCTTCACCGGTTGTACTTCTTATGTTGCTCCATCTTGAATTTCAATATCCTCCAAATCCACGAAATGCATGGTATCCAATTGACATTTTCTTAACATTGAAACATGGAACACATCATGCACCCCTGACAGCTGAGCTGGTAACCACAGTTGATACGCAACTTTGCCCACTGTTTTGATCACCTCAAATGGTTGGAGCTAACTTTTCCTTCTTGCCAAATCTGAACACCCCCTTTTTGGGTGACACCTTAAGGAACACATAGTCCCCCTCTTGGAACTCCAATGGTCTTGGTCTTCTATCCGCATAGCTTTTCTGTCTACTTTGAGCCGTGCGTAGTCTTTCTCGAATAAGTTGAATTTTCTCCGTAGTTTTTCGAACAATTTTCGGCCCAAACAGGCTACTCTCTCCAGCTTCTAGCCAACAAGTCAAGGACCTACATGGTCTCCCATACAATGCCTCATAAGGTGTCATGCCAATGCTAGATTGGAAACTATTGTTGTATGCGAATTCCACCAATGGTAAATGATCGCTCCAACTTCCCTTGAAGTCCAACACACAGGCTCGTAACATGTCCTCCCAAATTTGTATCACCCTTTCAGATTGGCTATCTGTTTGGGGATGAAAGGTGGTGTTAAAGTGTAACTCTGTCCCCATAGCTCGTTGTAAACTTTGCCAAAATTGTGCCACAAAACAGGAATCACGATCTGACAAGATAGAGAGTGGAATACCATGTAATCAAATAATCTCACGAATGTATAGCTTGCTCAAGGTCTCTAATGTATCCGTGGTCTTCATACTCAAGAAATGAGCGGACTTGGTGAGTCGATCTACAATGACCTATATTACATTATGCCCTCGTGACATCCGTGGTAAACCCGACACAAAATCCATGGTAATGTGATCCTACTTCCACTTTGGTATAGCCAATGACTGTAATAATCCTCTGAGTTTTTGATGCTCAATCTTCACCTACTGACACACTACGCACTTTGCAACGTACTTGGCCACATCTTGTTTCATCCCTTTCCACCAATATTGACGCTTTATGTCCCTATACATCTTGGTACTACCTGGATGTATAGAGAATTTTGAATGATGGCATTCACCCAACACTTTTTCCCTTACCTAGTCATTGTTTAGTATACATAGTCTCCCACGAAATTGTAACTCACCATTATGTATTGCCTAGTTCTCAACCATCTCATTCCTCTCCAATCTACCTCGGATAATTTCCAACTCTGTATCTAATCGTTGCAACTCCATAATCCTTTGTTGAAGAATTGGTTGGGTTAGGAGATTAAATAAGCACGATCGATCCCCCTATAGATCAAACTCCTCCAAGGAATCAATCATCTTCCACCTATTAACAGCAAGGACATTGATTTCACCCCGAGACTTTTTGCTAAGTACATCTGCTACTACATTAGTCTTCCTCGGGTGGTAGTTGAGTGTGAACTCATAGTCTTCTAGATATTCAATCCACTTTCTTTGCCGAAGATTTAAATCTTTTTGTGTGAAGATGTACTTGAGGCTCTTATGATCAGAAAACACTTGAAAATTTTCTCCATACAGATAATACCTCCACAACTTAAGAGCAAAAACCACAACTGCAAGCTCTAAGTCATAGGTAGGATAATTTTTCTCATGGATCTTCAGTTGTCTCGATCCATAAGCAACAACCTTACCTCTGTGCATAAGCACACATCCCAAGTCTCGTAACGAAACATCGGTATACACCATATTCTTCCCCACTGCTCAGAATAATGAGGATAGGAGCTGTCATCAACCTTTCCTTCAAGGTGCGAAAGGACAGTTCACATTCTTTAGTCCACAAGAATTTTTTCCCCTTTTTCGTAAGGCAAGTCATTGACATCGCTAGTTTTGAGAACCCTTCCACAAATCTCTGGTAATAGCTTGCTAATCGCAGGAAACTACGTATTTCAGTCACATTCCTCGGTGGTTCCCATTTCATCATGGCCTCGATCTTCATGGGGTCAACCGCTATGTGAAACCTGAGAAAAATTTGAACTTTTTCAGAAAAAGAAAAAAATGGTAATTTATCACTATAATGCGGGTTTACAATCTATATTTTTCTAGAGCTCGGATGACATAACGGACCTCACCGTTGGATTTGTATCGCAAAATTGAGCTGTCTTGTCAATTTTTATCGAATTTCAAGATAGTCAGATTATACACGTTTTACGAGATAATTAGGTGACAAATGACTTTTCAAAGGTCCCCAAAAATAAAATTTATAAATTTTCTTATAATTAAATAAAATTTTAAATAAAATTAATTTGAACTTAAACTGGAATGTAATAAATCGTTTCGGGCTGAAAAATGGACCTGAACAAGTAGGGTGCGTGTGGCTCGATGTGAGCCAAGTCTTTAAAATTATAAATAGGGTTAAAAATCAGACATTTCAGCAGAAATATCTCTACAATTCATC